CGAGGTAATGGGCTGGATGAGGGCCAATAAACTGAAGCTCAATCCAGACAAGACGGAGGTCCTGTTGGTTGGCGGATCAGGCTTCGGAGACGGGGGACTTAACCTAGTCCTGAATGGGGTTGCACTCCCTCTTAGGGACAAGGTCCGCAGTTTGGGAGTGCTCCTTGACCCGGAGCTTTCATTGGAAGCTCAGGTGACAGCGGTGGCGAGGAGCGCTTTCCTTCAGCTTCGGCTGATTCATCAGCTGTGCCCCTACCTGGACTTCGACTGCCTGGTGAAAGTGACACACGCACTGGTGACTTCCCGTCTGGACTTCTGTAACGCACTTTACGTGGGGCTACCCTTGAAGATAGTCCGGATACTTCAATTGGTTCAAAATAGAGCTGCCAGGCTGCTGACGGGGACTGGGCGTTATGTTCACATGACTCCAGTTCTCCATCAGCTTCACTGGCTTCCCATTGAAGTCCGGGCCCAATTCATGGTGTTGGTGATGACCTATAAAGCCCTAAACAGCTTGGGTCCTGGTTACCTGAAGGAGCGCTTACATCCATATGTGCCCGGCCGCCCCTTGAGATCTGCGGGAGAGGCCCTTCTCCGGGAACCCTCTGTGAAAGAAATTAGGAGGGTAGGTACTTGGAGGAGGGCTTTCTCTGCGGTGGCGCCCAATCTATGGAATGTGCTCCCCAGAGAGGTCCGCCTGGCGCCGTCGTTATTTGTTTTTCGGCGCCAGGCAAAGACCTTTATATTTAAGCGTCATTTTAATTCTTAACAGTATTTGCTTATTTATCTGGCCAGGGCGACTTCTTTTATATTGTTATTTATTTTATATTGTTATTTTTGTATTATATTGTATGTTGTGAGCCGCCCCGAGGCTTCGGCGAATGGGGCGGCATAGAAATGTTTTAATAAATAAATAAATAAATATATTTCAGAAAGTAATCCTAATCTTAAAGTGTCTACTTCAGAAACGTTGTGCACCTATTTCTCAGCCCTTGCTACTGCGTAATGAGATTCAGCAAGGTACCATCCAGTGCCGTTTCACTTGGTGAGAGCATACCAAAGGGATGTGGAGCCGAGTGCCATCCGTTTGCAGATGACACACAACTATATCTCCTTGTGACCTCTGAATCAGGTGAGGTTATACAAGTTCACACAACCACAGTGCCTTGATTCAGTGATGGGCTGGGTGAGGTCCAATTATCTGAAGGTGAATCCTGACAAGACAGAAGTGCCATGGTGGGTAGTTCCCATGTCCAAGAGATGGACTCATTACCTGTCCTGGACACAGTTTGCAGTCTGAGGGTACTCCTAGGTCCATCATTATCACTGGAATCCCAAGCGACCATAGCAGCTTTACCAACTTCAACTGTTTGCCGGTCACAGCCTCTGCTGGGCAGGGATAGCTCAGCCACAGTGGTACAAGTGCTGCTAATCTCCAGACTGAATGGCTGCAATGTTTTCTATGTGGAGCTACCCCAAAGGCTTGTCTTGAAACTGGCACTAGTGCAGAATGCAGCAGCTTGACTGTTATCAAGAGTTTCCCAGCAACTCCTTTACTAAGTGAAATGTACTGGCTGCCTATTTGCTGTGTTGCCAGGTTTAAGGTTTTGGTAGGGGGGCTGCAGGTGGTGCAGTGGTTTAAACTGCAGAGCTGCTGGTCAACAATTTGAATCTGCACAACGGGGTGAGCTCTTGTTGCTCCATTCCAGCTCCTTGAAGTTTGAAAGTATACAAATGCAAATAGATAAAAAGGTGGGATACTTTCAGTGGGAAAGTAACAGCATTCCGTGCACCTCGGTGATTAGTCATGCTGACCACATGACCTCAGAAACTGTCTGTGGACAAACGCTGCTCCCTCAGCTAGGAAATGGAGATGAGCACCACCCCCTAGAGTCAGGCATGACTGGATTTAATGTCGTGGGGAAACCTTTATCTTTTTACTAGTGCATAAAGACCTGAACAACTTGGAATTAAGATAAATGAGAAAGTGCCTTCTTCCTTACCAAACTACCAAATCCCAGAGGTCATTGGATGGCAAGTATCTTGGGGATCCATATGGACTTGTGGCCCAACTGGAACTCACCTGGAGAAGGGCCTTTGGTGAAGTGGCTCCATTTCTCTAGAACTCTCAAATAAACACTTTTATTTCAGGAATCCTTCCTGATCTAATTAGGCACAATTTTGTTAACACAGTTTTAGTGAGCTCCTTTGTAGCCATATTATTGTATTCTTTTTTCTGCTTTCTTTTTTTCCCTCACTACTCTGAAATCACCATACTGGAATATGGAGCAATATCTAAATATTGTTTAAAAATGCTCAGATAGAAAAAGTAGAGACTGTATAACCAAGAACCTCTGATCTGCCACACATAGAGTTGGGCATGTCAGGATAGGGTGGAACTTTGGGGACTTCTTGTTAGGAGTCCCCTTTTGCCCATTCCTATGAGCTTCTGTTCCAAGAATCTGATTTCAGTTCTCCTGACTAACTTCCAACTCCTCTATGCTTTATGGAATACTGGCATGGGAAGTTACAATGAACGAGAGATAATCTGCTTTGTGGAAAAATGCCAAATACCTTTGAAATCCATATCCTAAAAGTAGAAACAAAACTGCAAAACAAGAAAAGGATGTGTTGAATGTGTTCTATATACTCTCATCAATTCAGTATTTCAGGTTTTCTCAATGCGGAAAATGAAGAATGGTTACTCACACAGTTACTCACACAGAAGGAACTTTTCCTTGGTAAGGCCACGTCCATCTCGGGGCAACAGTACTTCGCGTAGTGGAACAGGGTGGGATTTTGTGGAGCATCTCCGGTGTCTGAGTTCAGAAAAATGCTGCAAGTATCTTCATAGGATCCTTTTACAGTAAACGTAAAGGATTGCCCTGTGCTCATGATAGAGAATACAAACAGAACTTCAATACAAATCTCACCAAAAGTGTATTTTTTAAATAATACTTGATACTCAATCCTCCCTCCAAGATCAGTGCAGTGTATATTAGGCCAGGCTTCCCCAACCTGGTGCCCTCCAGGTATGCTGGAGTACAACTCTCGGCAATGTCCATTCTGGCTGGGGGCGATGTGATATCCAACACATTTACAGGGCACCAGCTTGGGGAAGGCTGTATCGATGTATCCCATTTTATTCTTATGGCAGATGATGACTGGGTCACAGGAAAGCACAGGATAAGATGACTGGGTCACAGGACAGCAATTTGCCCACAATAGGAATGGATAATCTGTCCGTTTCTCTGTCTCCCACATCTAAATTTCGAACATCTCAATGTCTTTTGGTCCTATGTAGGAAGAAATTTGTAAATTTCGATAAGTTTTTCTCAAAAAGTCCCAAAAGGAAATTCTTGCCATCTGCAGCTATTCCTAGCATAGAGAGGTCCATGAAGCACCTGCCTGCTATACAGTTCTAAAGATGAGGAATCCATCAGAAAAAAGAAGCAGCAACCCAAATTCAGCCCCACAATCTTGGCTGAATTTGTAGAGACTCAAAGCCAGAATTTTGAGTGCTTAAAGTTCTGGGCTTGTCCATTTTGGTTTTAACTTCATGGAAATGTTTTTAAATATTAAGTACTTCTATCCCAACTATGAAGTCATGTGTGAATTTGGGTAACTTTTTATCTGTCAGTGAATCAAACAGAATTCTCAGCCCCCCACACCAAGCCAAAACCAGTTCCCCAAGCTTCTTAGCCTGGGAGGGGATTTGAATTCCAGTCTCTGCAATCCAAGCCCAATCTTTATTCCACCCTATCACTCTTTAGAAGGAGGGAGGGAGGTGATACCCTGGAAAATGGCTAGAAAGAAAATACAGTGTCAAAAATTGCTCCCATGTTGGCAGGCTAGTGGGAAGGGCAGGAGGTGCAGTTGCCAGAGTTAAGCAGGGTGACAAAGAGAGCAACGTCACAGGAGAGATGTTCGCCCGGATGATGGCGCACAGTTGAGAGGAATAGAGCCCACTTGTAAAGAAAAAGGGATGCATTCGTCATTCCCATGCAAGCAGGATGTCTCAGTAATGCTGGACTTTTCTAAATGAGGCCATTTCTCCCACTGTTTCCACTTCCATTTTCATCACAGAATTAAGACTGGAGCTCTGCTTGAAGCTATTTTCTCTTTCTGCCTTTCTGTTCTTTTGGCTATGTGACCTCTAGGTAGCACTGCAACTGAAGCAGTGAGAACCAGTGCTTTGTTTCATTTCTGCAAAAAGTACTAGAGCTGCAAGCTCTCAAAACCCTGGGGAAATTGCCATTTAAAAACAGAAGCAACACTCCTCTAAAGCATCCATCAGCTATCATGACTGAGAAAAGCTCGTAGTTTGCATATCTGTATGTTGCACATTGGGATCAGTGGAGAAAACCAGAGCCAATTACCATGCTTACTTCTGCCCTTTTTCTTCTTTTCTTTTCCATCCACTTCTACTTTTAGGCAAGAAAGTTCCCGAGACTGCAAGAAAAAAACAACAACTGCACACCTCTAACTGTTCAACAGATGACAATTGAGCAGGTGTGTTCACCTGTAATGTCAAAAATTATTATCCAGTGGTCTCACATATTAAAAACAGTTGAAAGCTCTTTCCTGGTTAATGCAACAATGAGAGTCTCTAAGACTATTTTATTTATTTATTTATGTGTACACACTTTACTAAGAGTCTTTAAGACTACTTTTGAATGCTTTACATTCAAGGTGGATAGGACTTCAAGCAAGGTTTTGCTTAAGAAATGCTAGAAAATAGTTGTCCTTGACGTTAAAATGGACATCAGTAGCTGGTGCCTTAGGGATCATTGTAAGCTCTTATGTACACTAGGTAATGAAAAGGATGTTGTAGTCACTCTCACACACACACTGAACAAGGCAGTGCCTTCCTGTTTGCAAAAGGACCCTTGGCTCTGTGTATACCTCCATTAGCCAAAGAGAAAGAGGCTAAATTTTGCTGAATCTTCTGAAGCAGATTTGCAGGGGCTTGTACAAAGATCACTTCCTTTCCTCTTCTGTAAGTAGAGGCACCTGCAGCATCAAAAGCGCTTCTGCATCCAGAATAGCACTACTGGATTTAAACGGAATTTAAATCTTCTAAATCATTAGATGTCAATCCTAACAAGTCATAACATAATTTTATAAAGCATCTTCTGAAGACAGACTAAAGGCATCCATCTCCCAAGGACAGCTGTCAGGGAACAGGAGTGCTATGAGGTAGTAGAGAGACCACTGCAGCACATACAATGAGTGACATCTTGCTCTACCATGTTCTGATCCACAACTGCAAGGAGCAGCAGTGTAAAGTTCTTTTTCCTTATCAAGATTTGATTAGCTTCTGCCTGCCTGCCTTCCTTCCCACCACTGAAGATGAGATTCTCCAAAGTCATGGTAAATAATTTTAAACACTCGTAGCTACAAAATCAAATAACATACCACGAGCACTCCATTTGTAGCAAGGTTTTCAGGAATATCTGGCCTGGTGACAGAAAATATATCTGTTAATGCAATATCTACCAAAAGCCTTCTTTCAGATTTTCCCGAGTACTTTGAAACACATCCAAGCATGTTATCTTTTCCCAGCTTATAAACTTTGGGCATCATATTTAAATATCTGAAATAATTCCATCTGAATTAAATTTATTTAGAAGTAGGTCACACTGGTAATAGAGGTACAAGTAATCCATTCCTTGTTCTATCCTATAATGCTAGACTTTGTTTGTTTGTTTGCCTTATTTTTAATCCAGCTGATGCTTAAGTACTCTCTGAACACATTTCAAAAAGCTGAAAGAATAAATTATTTGTTTTATACCTAGCTGTCGTGCATGAAGCCCCGACAGAAACAGTGACTCACGAAGAGACCTTGCACTTGGCACCCTGCACCCAAGAGTTGCCCCCACAACCCAATGCAGGAGCAGCTGAACCAGCTATTGCGTCTTCCCATAAGCCCCAGCTCATTGAGCAAACGCCTGGACCTTTATCAGAGACAGAGCAAACTGCCTCCTCCCCTCCTGACGCTGATCTCCCCGAACCGGAAACAGAAGACACTATAGGCCTGAAAGCGCCGGCAGCGGCCGGGGAGAACCGGCAGAAACAACACACTGGGGAGAACCGGCAGAAACAACGCGCCGGACAGGGCGCACCTTCTCCGCGCCCCGGGACTCCACGCCGTCGCTCGGCAGCGACGCCCGCGCGGCCAGCTCCACCGGCCCGACGAACTCCACCGGCCAGGCACCAGGACCCGGTTCAGCCCGGCCCGCCCCTGCACGGGTGAGAGCCGTGCACTGGACAGGGCGGAGCATCGGGAGGGCCCTGCAGCCTGAAAGTGCCGGCGGCAGCGGCCAGGGCCAGCGGCCTCGGGCCAGCGGCCAAAGGCGGTCGCTGCCATTTGGGAGCCATTCGGGGGCCGAGCAGGGGGCTGGGCTGGCCAGGTGGCTTTCATTGTGTGCTATAATTGGTCCTCCTGCTGGGCTGCGCTACAGTGATATTGTGGCTGCTGTGGCCACTGAACTGGGCGTATAGCCGAGGGAAGGGGGAGTTTTTAACTGTTTTTTATAATTTTATTGTATTTTAAGCTGTTTTATGGAGTCGTCCCTGGCCATGTCGCCGCTTGTGCTTCCTGGGAAGCGCGGGCGCCACCATTGGGGTGGTTTTGGGCAATGGACGTAACAGCGGTGGGGGCTTAACATGTCTGCATAGAAGAAGGAGGGACAGATGGTTGACACCTGTCCCTACTTCTGGTTTTGCCCCCAGCCAGAGGGTGCCAGGTAGTCTTGCCAGCTGCCCCGCGGGCCTGACAGCGCTGTTGCTCAATGCCAGGTCAGTCAATAACAAATCCTCCCTCATCCATGATTTGATTGTGGATGAGGGGGCCGACCTGGCTTGCATCACAGAAACCTGGGCGGGAGAAGGGGGGGACGTGGCCCTCTCCCAACTGTGCCCGCCCGGGTATCTGGTTCAGCACCGTTCCCGCCCGGAGGGGAAGGGAGGGGGGTCTCTTTGGTTTACCGAGCTTCCATCTCTCTCACGGGACTTCCTGTCCCTTCGAGACCAGGGCTGGAGTGCCTCTACTTGGTGTTGGGCGACCGAGACAGATTGGGGATTCTGTTGGTGTACCGTGCACCCTTCTGCCCAACAGTCTCCCTGCCTGAGCTGACGGAGACCGTCTCGGACCTGGTGTTGAGGACCCCCAGGATGTTGGTCCTGGGGGACTTCAATCTCCATGCCGAGACTGGTCTGACTGGGGCTGCTCAGGACTTCATGGCCTCCATGGCGGCCATGGGGCTGTCTCAACATGTCACCGGCCCGACCCATGAACGTGGACACACTCTGGACCTGGATTTCTCAACAGGGCAGGAAGAGGGGGATCTGAGGGTGAGGAATTTATGTTTAACTCCCCTGTCATGGTCAGATCACTTCCTGGTGAGGTTTGTGCTCGAGAGCGACCTCTCCCTCTGTAAGGGTGCGGACCCGATTGTGTGGGTCCGCCCCCGGAGCCGGATGGATCCGGAAGGATTCCTGAAGGCCCTGGGGGAGTTTCCGGCTGACAAGACGGGTGCTCCTGTCGAGGCTCTGGTCGAACTGTGGAACGGGGAGATGACCAGGGCTGTGGACACGATCACTCCTAAGCGTCCTCTCCCACCAGGCAGAGCCCGCTCTTCCCCTTGGTATACTCCTGAATTGAGGGCGATGAAGCAGGTTGGGAGACGGCTAAAGCATAGGTGGAGGAAATCACGGGATGAATCTGACCGAACACACTTGAGAGCCCACTATCGGGCCTATGCTCTGGTGGTGAGGGCAGCGAAAAAAAGATTTTTTTCCGCTTCCATTGCCTCCTTACAATGCCGTCCAGTGGAGCTTTTTCAAGTGGTGTAAGGCCTGGTTCGTCCAGGTCCTAAGGAAGACCTGGTTCCACCCTCAAAGGCCTGCTGTGACGACTTTGCCAGGCATTTCAGGGAGAAAATCGCTCAGATTCGTCACGAGCTGGATACCACTAGTGATTCAGAGGTTTTTGGGGAGACCTCAATGCTGCCGTCTGGTCCAGAATTATTGGATGAATTTCAGTTACTGCGGCCCGATGATGTGGACAAGGTGCTTGGACAAGTACGTCCCACCACTTGCCTATTGGACCCTTGCCCGTCTTGGTTAATAAATAATTCCAAGCACGGGATTGGGATCTGGATCTTGGAAGTGGTTAACGCTTCTCTGAGGAAGTGTCAGGTGCCTGCCCCTTTAAAGGAGGCGGTAGTCCGACCGGTCCTGAAGAAGGCGTCACTGGATCCAGAGATGGCCACTAACTATAGACCAGTGACCAACATCCCATTTCTGGGCAAGGTGTTAGAGTGGGTGGTGGCGGGACAACTCCAAGCACTCATGGATGAAACCGATTATCTGGACCCATTGCAGTCCGGCTTCAGACCCGGGTACGGTACTGAATCTGCCTTGGTTGCCCTGTACGATGCCCTATGCAGGGAGAAGGACAGGGGGAGTGCGTCCCTGTTGGTTCTCCTGGACCTCTCAGCGGCTTTCGATACCATCGACCATGGTATCCTTCTGGATAGGCTTGCGGGATTGGGGGTCGGAGGCACTGCTTTGCAGTGGTTCCACTCCTATCTCAATGGCCAGTTCCAGAAGGTGGTGCTGGGGGACTATGGCTCTGCGCCATGGCAGCTATGCCATGGAGTACCACAGGGGTCCATTTCGTCCCCTTTGCTGTTCAACATCTACATGAAACCGCTGGGAGAGGTCATCAGGAGGTGTGGGCTGCGGAATCATCAGTACGCTGATGATACCCAGCTCTACCTCTCATTTTCCACCAATCCAGGTGAAGCAGTGGCTGCACTGAACCGGTGCCTGGCCGAGGTAATGGGCTGGATGAGGGCCAATAAACTGAAGCTCAATCCAGACAAGACGGAGGTCCTGTTGGTTGGCGGATCAGGCTTCGGAGATGGGGGACTTAACCTAGTCCTGAATGGGGCTGCACTCCCTCTTAGGGACAAGGTCCACAGCCTGGGAGTGCTCCTTGACCCGGAGCTTTCATTGGAAGCTCAGGTGACAGCAGTGGCAAGGAGCGCTTTCCTTCAGCTTTGGCTGATTCATCAGCTGCGCCCCTACCTGGAGTACGACTGCCTGGTGACAGTGACACATGCGCTGGTGACTTCCCGTCTGGACTTCTGTAACGCGCTTTACGTGGGGCTACCCTTGAAGACGGTCCGGATACTTCAATTGGTTCAAAATAGAGCTGCCAGGCTGCTGACGGGGACGGGACGTTATGTTCACATGACTCCAGTTCTCCGACAGCTTCACTGGCTTCCCATTGAAGTCCGGGCCCAATTCAAGGTGTTGGTGATGACCTATAAAGCCCTAAACGGCTTGGGTCCTGGTTACCTGAAGGAGCGCTTACGTCCATATATGCCCGCCCACCTGCCCCTTGAGATCAGCGGGAGAGGCCCTTCTCCGGGAACCCTCCGTGAAAGAAATTAGGAGGGTGGGTACTCGGAGGAGGGCTTTCTCTGCAGTGACACCTAAGTTATGGAATGCGCTCCCCAGAGAGGTCCGCCTGGCACAGCCATTTTATTTTTTTCAGCACCAGGCGAAGACCTTTTTATTTAAGCGGCATTTTAATAGTTAATATTATTGGATTTTATCTGGCCAGGGCGGCTTATTTTATATTGGTATTTTTGCATTTTTAACTTAATGTTTGTATTTTTTAATTTAATGTTATAATTATTTTTTTTAACTTAACTTTGTAAGCCGCCCCAAGGCTTCGGCGAATGGGGCAGCATAAAAATGTTTTAATAAATAAATAAATAAATAAATAGGTGTCATAAATTTCTCAAAAGCTGAAAACAGATGTCTTTTACGCAGATTTAAACAAATACAAAGCAGACAGCATAAAAGAGAGGAAAGGCATGACTTGGGAGAATGATCCCACGTGGGCTCAGAAAGAGAAGCCATTATAGGACTGACATCTGCTCTGCAGGGACCACTATTAGGAAACTTATGTATAGTATTGTAAATCTTGTAGACAATTAACATTAAAGGACTTTAGTTTTATTGCTCTGTGGAGAGTTGAATGTTTATACAACCCTTTCACAACAGAATGTCAATCCTATAATCATCCTAAACTCTCTCTCACAGCAGAGCAAAGAAGATTTTTTTCTCTCTCTGCAATACCACTCTACCATCCAGAAGAAATTTCATTCTAACCTCCTACCTTTCACAAACAACAACAATGCAGTCGCCTGTCCCTACCATTCAAGACCTTCAAGCTTTAAGAGAAGAAAATTCCCTCCTGAGAACAAGATATACTGAGGCAACAAGCCAGATTGAATTGCTGAAAACTGAATTAAATTCTCTTCGAACAGAACTTCAAACAGCTACTGCTTCAAAACAAAATCAAGAATTGATGCTACACAGATGCCCCCTTGAAGCCCCCCCGAAATACGACGACAAAAAAGAAGGATTTACAACTTTCAA